TTAAAACTCGTGTGTAGTTTTCAACGTTTCTTTTTAATTAAACAGTAATTGGTGACACAAAGATCACGGAAGATCGAAAAAATCCGAATCTTTAGTGACGTTTTCAAAAGTAAAAAAAAAAAACAAACAAAAACAACACAGGTTAAATTCAACGAAGCGACTTCACGCAAGTAGAACACTCAACAAAATAGTCAGAAGCTGTTAATTTAACAGATTCCTTACATTTTTTAAAAAATTCTGATTACTATTGGAAGATTCGTCAGGTAGGAATTGGCTTCTGCAGCGAATAGAAAAATTTAATTATTCTTTAGAAAAGTAATCATGACATCCGAGAATCAACGCAATACGAACACACCAAATGTTTAAAACAATTCGTTGATAAAGATTAAACTTAGAATAAAAAAAAAGAATGTCGAATTTTAGGATTTAAAAACGTAACCAATTGAAAAGGTGGAATACAAATAACTATTTGCATTATTCATTTACATTATTCAGACTATTTAACGCTCATCTTTGTCTATATATCATAATTGATTAAATCTAATTTCAAAATAAACAAACTTTCATTATCTGTTTATATATTTTAACTGATTCCTCATTTCTAATATATTCCAAAATAATCAAATATTTTATGTATTATATTATTTACATTATTTGGACTATTGTCCTCATCTTTGTCGCCATATTTATTACAACGTTTCGGCCTTTCCGTATCTGTCTATATTTCTAAGGTGAAGTATTATGTACACTATTTACATTATTCGGACTATTGTCCTCATCTCTTTGTCTTCTCCGCCATATTTAAACAACGTCGCCATTTATTACCCCTTCAGTATCTGTTTATATTTCTGAGACGAGGTTTATATTTCTAAAAGGTATTATTATTTACATTATTCTATTGTCCTCATTGTCCTCATCTTTGTCGCCATATTTATTACAACGTATTTTCGCCCTTCAGTATCTGTTTATATTTCTGAGACGAGGTATTATTGACACTATTTACATTATTCGGACTATTGTCCTCATCTTTGTCGCCATATTTATTACAAAGTTCCGGCCCTTCAGTATCTGTCTATATTTCTGAGGTGAGGTATTATGTACACTATTTACATTATTCGGACTATTGTCTTCATCTTAATCGCCATATTTATTACAACGTTTCGGCCGTTGTACGCTCCAGCCTTTAATCAGTTGGTTGGAATGTCGAATTGAACCCTTTATTTCGTTCACTGGGGTAGACTGTTCTAGTTCCACGTGCCATGTTTAATGGATGTCAGTTATCAGTTATCTTCTGTTAATTCACATCTCCAAGTTCTCCACTGCCTTAACCGGGTATCGAACTCACACTCTTTGTCCTCAAGGACACATGGCACAGTGGATAATGGCGTTAGTTAGATCCAGTGGCAAGAACCAAAGAGTTTGAGTTCAATCAGGAAAAGGTACTCCAGATGCGTCATGAGTAGAATTTGAAGAGAATTTACAAACAAAACATTCTGCTTTATCAGTAAAAGTTAGTAGTTGTGTTGCCTCATTCTGACATCAAACAAAGACAGCCTCCTTGAGCAGACACAAAATCACTTTTACGTGGGGAGCACCATACACATGCCTATGCAAAAGGATCAATGAGAACATTTTGGAGCCAGTTTTCGCGATCAATGTCATGTTGACACCGATATTATAACTTTATTGATCGAATGGGGAGGTGCTGCCACAATGTTGGAATCTCTGGGACAAGCACCTTCTCCAATTTAAAATGAAGAAAATTTTTTACTCCTCTTCCAGCCAAAAGCGAACACCTGTGTCTGTACTGCGTAGGTTAAGTACAAGAGACAATAATGATGTGTAAGAATGAGACAATTTTCCTGTACAATGGGTGGCAGTGGCCGGCAAACTGTAATCGTTTTTAAATGGCCAGGTAAATATTATCATCATTATTATCATCATCATCATCCTTTGGCATCCCTATGGTTGGTCGGAACTCCATTGGCAATCCCTTTCCACACTGTTCAGTCCTGCATTGCTGTCTCCAGATCCCCACTGTTCAACCCCTGAGTCCAGACCTATGATATCTGAGAAAGTCAATTTTCGTGAGAAGACACTTCCAGAAGGATGCCATAAGAGTAAGGATGGGTCGATATCCATGTCCACTGGGTGGCAGTGGCCGGTAAACTGTAATTGTTTTTAAATGTCCAAGTAAATATCATCATCATCCTCCTTCTCCGACTTCCCTATGGTTGGCCGGAAATCCAATGATAATCCCTTTCCGAACTGTTCGGTCCTGCAGTCTTGTTCCCAGTTCCCCTATGTCCAAACCTGTGTCCCAAGCTATGGTGTCTTGGAAAGTCAATTTTCTTGAGAAGACATTTCCAGAAGGATGCCATAAGAGTAAGTATGAGACGATTTCCCTGTCCGCACGGTGGCAGTGGCCGGCAAATTGTAATCGTTTTTGTTTGAGTTTAAGAGAGATTTGTCTCAGTTCTTCGTAAATTCTGTTAGGCATTACATGGGATCTCCAATTGATGCACTGGATTTTTCTACGTAGATTTGTATATATTCCACCTAGTCGTCTTTTAAAATGAGCAGATAATGTCCAAGTTTTTGATCCATACAGTATGACTGGTCCACTCAATGTTCGATAGGATTGTACTTTTAAGTGGGATGGATGGTTCGAGGCGCCACATCTTGGGAAGTTAATCAATCGCATCCGATGCAAAAGTTTTGCGGATTTTGAAGTCTTTTTTGGGGGATCCGTTAGTGTTGAAACTTGACTAATCCATGGAATAATAATGCAACACAAAATGTACGTAGAACAAAATGTATTGAAACAAGAAAGTGTACACAATATTTACATATAGTCTTTTGTATATTCCTGGTAAGACCGTTCCTGGAGAATGTGTTGACTGAGTCGCAGTCGGGCAGAGTCTCTGGTTGAATCTCTTGATTCCTCCCTCTCTTCCCGGTACCAACCATATTTATATGGTCGGTACTCCACTATGCAAATTAGGTGGATCCTACTACAACAGTTAGGTCAGATGCAAGATATTTGAAGTCCGCAACTCTTTTAATGGATGTATTATTGAGTGATTTCAACTCGGGTGGTTGAGGAAAGTTTGTGTTATATTCTGTCTTAAGTTGCAATAGACACCTTCCTGGTTCGCTGCTTGCTCAAATGATTGCATCAAGGATTCTGCATCCTTGATACACTGAGAAATTAATGCACAATCATCAGCAAAGTCAAGGTCAGTCAGGTATTGAGGAAGGTTACAAAAGAGGTCCTTTTTTTTCTTCTTACAAATGGACGACGAAAGCAATGAGGAAGATTTGAACCTGTGTTCGTGGCATGGCGGATGTTAGATGTAAACTGTTAGGACTTTGTTTTTTTCAATGATTTTCACGTTGTACAAGGCCCGAGAGACACTCGAGGTAGACGGTTACAGATTAAGAGACACAGCTTAGACGAATATATGTAGAAGATAACAGTTGACTCTAGACTTGAACAGGTTAGGATTGTAGTGATTGGGAAAGCAGCCTTATGTGAGTTGGTTCTTTTCAATGATTTTCACGTTGTACAAGACCCGAGAGACACTTGAGGTAGACGGTTACAGTTTAAGAGGCACAGCTTAGTTGAATATATTTAGAAGATAACAGTTGACTCTAGACTTGAACAAGTTAGGATTGTAGTGATCGAGGAAGCAACCTCTTGGGAGTCAGTTCTACATGGCAGTGTCCGTGGGAATATGCAGCTTATGTGTATTTTACATCTTACCAATACGAAGGAAATAAGGGTGGTTCGCTATTATGGGCGTGGCATGGCGGTTCTTAGCCGTGGAGGTTAGAACAGCTGGAACTATAAGGGGTGTGAACTCTCTAAGTAAATAGCGGTAGAACAGTGAGAGGATTGCGACATCTCGTCTGTGAGAAAACGGTTGCAGAGTGGAAATAATTCGTCGCCTACAAGGACGCGGAGACTTTATCGAAGCGGGAAAGTGACGACTGGGCAGCTCACGCCCATATATGGCAGCAGTACTGCATTTTCGGCTTCAAATGGCTTTTGTAAAAGTAGGGGATATCAGGAGGAGTTTGGTACTTTTTGGTGTGGTAAAGGGATCCAACCATTTCACTAGCATTTTTACGATGCAGCGTATGTAGGAGTTCCTCTTGAAATCTGGATTGAGTTTAAGTCTCAATAGTCGCTCAAGCAATGGGTTCTCCCCTAGGGAACATCCGTTCATCGCGATTGATGAACATTAGTCCTAGGAGCATTTATATGTAATTATAATATGTCAGATCGTTCACTGAAGGTAAGGTGAACCGATTTCCAATGTAAATTGTGTATCTATTTAAAATACTGCATTTATTTCAGTTTAAAGACAGAAACAGCCATAAAGTGGGAGAAATAGATGGTATATACATTTTTCCTGTTTATCAGGGCTTGTTGCCAGACAGAAAAGTAAAGTCGCATAGAAATACATTTTAATTTACTAAAAATTGTGTGTATATAGATTCAACGATGGACCTAAAGATATTTCTAGTTTTAAAAGTACTTTTATTTATTACCAAATAATTTTCGAAAAAAATCAATACAATCATATATTTATCTGCTATTTTAGGGCTTAAAAAAATTAAAGTTTCAAGTTTGTTTTTTACTTGACACTAAATTTAAGGTTACATTGCTCAGTGGAGAGTGGTGTGGTTAAGACTGGTACGAGTGTCTTATTTAAACTTTCAAATTGCGAGTGTACGTATGTCGGTGTATAGAGTAAATAGCACAAGTACATGGAAGTCATTCACGCATAACACAGACATAAGAATATAGATTGCACACACCCAGGCAAAATCAGAGGCAGGCAGTGAGTGAGAGAAAAATAAACACTTTTATGATACATATGATATATTTTCAGAAATTTTACTACGCATGATTTTTTTATGATCAGACTGTAATTGATAGATTGAATAGAAATGGATAGAATGAAACTGATTGTTAAATACAGAGCGACTAATTAATAGATAGATATTAACAGAATGAGATAGATAGATAGATAGATAGATAGATAGATAGATATAGAAACGGATAGAATGACAGCGATAGTTAAATACAGAGAGACTGTAATGAATAGATAGATAGATATGAACAGAATGAGATATATAGACAGACAGACAGATATGGATAGAATGAAATTGATAGATAAATACCAAGACTGTAATTAATTAGATAGATAGATAAATAGATAATGATCAGAGATAGATAGATAGATAGATATGAAAAGACATAAATAGATAGATAGATAAATAGATAGATAGATACATAGATAGAGAGATATATAGAGAGATAGATCTGAACAGACATAGATAGATAGATAAATATGGATAGAATGAAATCGACAGTTAAATACGAAGAGACTGTAATTAATAGATAGATAGATAGATAGATATGAACAGAATGAGATAGATAGATAAATAGATAGCTTGATAGATAGATAATGAACATAGATAGAGATATATATAGAGAGATAGATATGAACAGCTAGATAGATAGATAGATAGATAGATAGATAGATATGGATAGAATGAAACCGACAGTTAAATAAAAGAGACTGTAATTAATAGACAGATAGATATGAACAGAATGATATATATATATATATATATATATATATATATATATATATATATAAAGATACATAGATAGATAGATATGGATAGAATGAAATTGATCGATAAATACCAAGACTGTAATTAATAGATAGATAGATAGATCGATAGATAGATGTAGATAGATACGGAATGAGGCGGATAGATATGGACAGTGTGTGAGGTAGATAGATAGATATGGATAGAATGAAATTGATAGATAAATGCAAAAGACTGTAGTTAATAGAATAATATATATATATATATATATATATATATATATATATATACACACACACACACACACACACACACACACACATATATATATATATATATATATATATATATATATCATGCTAAATGTCTGTGATTGCCTGCGGGATAATCTACTATATTCACGTGCTAATACCCTTGGGAAAGTTATAAATCATCTTCTTATCCCCCCAGCTATGAATAAATAGCAGGACAGCCCGGGTTCTATAGCCTTGGATGGCAACTGGTCTACCGTAGAAGGAAATGTTAATCTGCCACGTCAGTCATGTCTCGAAAGAATATCGGCTTAGAATAAGAAACCGGACATTAGCCGGAAATGAAACGAAAAGAGACACGATCATCCAAACGTATATCACTATGGTACTTAACTGATTGATTCTTCTATAGAAAGGGGGGGGGGTTCAAGACAAAGATGGGTCTCCTCGCCGGATCTTTTCTGAGAGAACTAGAAGTCCTATCAGGATTCATCATTGACAGCCACTATATTAAAAACAAAAAAATATGGAACTGGAAAAGTGTCCATAGCAAACATAGAAAGGAAACTACAAGAACAGTAGGTGGTAAAAGAAAGCGGGAAGAAAGAATTACACATCAAGTGCAAAAAGGCAGAATAAATGGTTGTTAGCAGAAGGAAAAGCCAGACAAATTACAAATCAAGAATACTAAAACCAAGCGAGTACCAAATTGTAACTATCCGGGAAGAGTTTTAAGAGAGGTCAGAATGTACGGCACTGAAATCCGAAGGATAGTCGAAGATGCTTTCTAATAGCTAAACAGAGTCTTATGAAACGCAAAATGATTGGTTAGAAACAAAGGAAAAATTACTGAAATATTATGTAATATCACTCCTCCTATATGGCAGTGAATGCTGGACAATCTCCTCACAGATGAAGTAGTGACTTGAAACAAGAGAAACAAAGAAAAGAGTACTGAACTGTTACGTAATATCAGTCCTCCTATATGGCAGTGAATGCTGGACAATCTCCTCACAGATGAAGAAGAGACTTGAAACAACAGAAACAAAAAGAAGAGTACTGAAATGTTACGTAATATCAGTCCTCCTATATGGCAGTGAATGCTGGACAATCTCCTCACAGATGAAGAAGTGACTTGAAACAAGAGAAACAAAAGAAAAGAGTACTGAACTGTTACGTAATATCAGTCCTCCTATATGGCAGTGAATGCTGGACAATCTCCTCACAGATGAGAAGAGACTTGAAACAAAGAGAAACAAAGAAAAGAGTACTGAAATGTTACGTAATATCAGTCCTCCTATATGGCAGTGAATGCTGGACAATCTCCTCACAGATGAAGAAGTGACTTGAAACAAGAGAAACAAAGAAAAGAGTACTGAACTGTTACGTAATATCAGTCCTCCTATATGGCAGTGAATGCTGGACAATCTCCTCACAGATGAGGAAGAGACTTGAAACAATAGAAACAAAGAAAAGAGTACTGAACTGTTACGTAATATCAGTCCTCCTATATGGCAGTGAATGCTGGACAATCTCCGCACAGATGAAGAAGAGACTTAAAACAACAGAAACAAAGAAAAGAGTTCTGAACTGTTACGTAATATCAGTCCTCCTATATGGCAGTGAATGCTGGACAATCTCCTCACAGATGAGGAAGAGACTTGAAACAATAGAAACAAAGAAAAGAGTACTGAACTGTTACGTAATATCAGTCCTCCTATATGGCAGTGAATGCTGGACAATCTCCGCACAGATGAAGAAGAGACTTGAAACAAGAGAAACAAAGAAAAGAGTACTGAACTGTTACGTAATATCAGTCCTCCTATATGGCAGTGAATGCTGGACAATCTCCTCACAGATGAAGAAGTGACTTGAAACAATAGAAACAAAGAAAAGAGTACTGAACTGTTACGTAATATCAGTCCTCCTATATGGCAGTGAATGCTGGACAATCTCCTCACAGATGAAGAAGTGACTTGAAACAAAGAAACAGCAAAAAGATTACTGAACTGTTACGTAATATCAGTCCTCCTATATGGCAGTGAATGCTGGACAATCTCCTCACAGATGAGGAAGAGACTTGAAACAATAGAAACAAAAAAAAGAGTACTGAACTGTTACGTAATATCAGTCCTCCTATATGGCAGTGAATGCTGGACAATCTCCTCACAGATGAAGAAGAGACATGAAACAAGAGAAACAAAAGAAAAGAGTACTGAACTGTTACGTAATATCAGTCCCTCCTATATGGCAGTGAATGCTGGACAATCTCCTCACAGATGAAGAAGAGACTTGAAACAACAGAAACAAAGAAAAGAGTACTGAACTGTTACGTAATATCAGTCCTCCTATATGGCAGTGAATGCTGGACAATCTCCTCACAGATGAAGAAGAGACTTGAAGCAACAGAAACAAAGAAAAGAGTACTGAACTGTTACGTAATATCAGTCCTCCTATATGGCAGTGAAAGGAGAACAATCTCCTCACAGACGAAGAAGAGATTTGAAACAACAGAAACAAAGGAAAGAGTACTGAACTGTTACGTAATATCAGTCCTCCTATATGGCAGTGAATGCTGGACAATCTCCTCACAGATGAAGAAGAGACTTGAAGCAACAGAAACAAAGAAAAGAGTACTGAACTGTTACGTAATATCAGTCCTCCTATATGACAGTGAATGCTGGACAATCTCCTCACAGATGAAGAAGAGACTTGAAGCAACAGAAACAAAGAAAAGAGTACTGAACTGTTACGTAATATCAGTCCTCCTATATGGCAGTGAATGCTGGACAATCTCCTCACAGATGAAGAAGAGACTTGAAACAACAGAAACAAAGAAAAGAGTACTGAACTGTTACGTAATATCAGTCCTCCTATATGGCAGTGAATGCTGGACAATCTCCTCACAGATGAAGAAGAGACTTGAACAAGAGAAACAAAGAAAAGAGTACTGAACTGTTACGTAATATCAGTCCTCCTATATGGCAGTGAATGCTGGACAATCTCCTCACAGATGAAGAAGAGACTTGAAACAACAGAAAGAAACAAAGGAAAGAGTACTGAACTGTTACGTAATATCAGTCCTCCTATATGGCAGTGAATGCTGGACAATCTCCTCACAGATGAAGAAGAGACTTGAAACAACAGAAACAAAAAAAAAGAGTACTGAACTGTTACGTAATATCAGTCCTCCTATATGGCAGTGAATGCTGGACAATCTCCTCACAGATGAAGAAGAGACTTGAAACAACAGAAACAAAGGAAAGAGTACTGAACTGTTACGTAATATCAGTCCTCCTATATGGCAGTGAATGCTGGACAATCTCCTCACAGATGAAGAAGAGACTTGAAACAACAGAAACAAAGAAAAGAGTACTGAACTGTTACGTAATATCAGTCCTCCTATATGGCAGTGAATGCTGGACAATCTCCTCACAGATGAAGAAGAGACTTGAAACAACAGAAACAAAGGAAAGAGTACTGAACTGTTACGTAATATCAGTCCTCCTATATGGCAGTGAATGCTGGACAATCTCCTCACAGATGAAGAAGAGACTTGAAACAACAGAAACAAAGGAAAAGAGTACTGAACTGTTACGTAATATCAGTCCTCCTATATGGCAGTGAATGCTGGACAATCTCCTCACAGATGAAGAAGAGACTTGAAACAACAGAAAAAAAGGAAAAAAGAGTACTGAACTGTTACGTAATATCAGTCCTCCTATATGGCAGTGAATGCTGGACAATCTCCTCACAGATGAAGAAGAGACTTGAAACAACAGAAACAAAGGAAAGAGTACTGAACTGTTACGTAATATCAGTCCTCCTATATGGCAGTGAATGCTGGACAATCTCCTCACAGATGAAGAAGAGACTTGAAACAACAGAAACAAAGAAAAGAGTACTGAACTGTTACGTAATATCAGTCCTCCTATATGGCAGTGAATGCTGGACAATCTCCTCACAGATGAAGAAGAGACTTGAAACAACAGAAACAAAGGAAAGAGTACTGAACTGTTACGTAATATCAGTCCTCCTATATGGCAGTGAATGCTGGACAATCTCCTCACAGATGAAGAAGAGACTTGAAACAACAGAAACAAAGGAAAGAGTACTGAACTGTTACGTAATATCAGTCCTCCTATATGGCAGTGAATGCTGGACAATCTCCTCACAGATGAAGAAGAGACTTGAAACAACAGAAACAAAGAAAAGAGTACTGAACTGTTACGTAATATCAGTCCTCCTATATGGCAGTGAATGCTGGACAATCTCCTCACAGATGAAGAAGAGACTTGGAACAACAGAAACAAACAAAAGAGTACTGAACTGTTACGTAATATCAGTCCTCCTATATGGCAGTGAATGCTGGACAATCTCCTCACAGATGAAGAAGAGACTTGAAACAACAGAAACAAAGAAAAGAGTACTGAACTGTTACGTAATATCAGTCCTCCTATATGGCAGTGAATGCTGGACAATCTCCTCACAGATGAAGAAGAGACTTGAAACAAACAGAAACAAAAAAAAAAGAGTACTGAACTGTTACGTAATATCAGTCCTCCTATATGGCAGTGAATGCTGGACAATCTCCTCACAGATGAAGAAGAGACTTGAAACAACAGAAACAAAAGAAAAGAGTACTGAACTGTTACGTAATATCAGTCCTCCCTATATGGCAGTGAATGCTGGACAATCTCCTCACAGATGAAGAAGAGACTTGAAACAACAGAAACAAAAAAAGAGTACTGAACTGTTACGTAATATCAGTCCTCCTATATGGCAGTGAATGCTGGACAATCTCCTCACAGATGAAGAAGAGACTTGAAACAACAGAAACAAAGAAAAGAGTACTGAACTGTTACGTAATATCAGTCCTCCTATATGGCAGTGAATGCTGGACAATCTCCTCACAGATGAAGAAGAGACTTGAAACAACAGAAACAAAGAAAAGAGTACTGAACTGTTACGTAATATCAGTCC